CTCTAGTAGCACCTTGGCGCAGTGCTGCGCGTGGGTGTAAATCCAAAACCTAACGAGGTGTAAGTGAAGAGTTTGGTTTCTTAAACTGCAAAACACAATACATAATGACACGGAGAATTATGTTTCCTCCAGAGTGCTTTTAGCAAAGTGCGTTACTGTAAAACATGGATTTGATAAGTTTTTTAGTGCATTGATTAAAAGGAACAGCAGCAAAGCAGCACTATGTCCATTCTGGATGTTCTCAGGGTGCGCACAGACATCCTGTTAAGTTAATTTATCTCTGCTTGGATCCACAATCTTACCTTCTTGGTCCCTTTCGGCTCATTATACTGATACTTTACCTTCACCTCCGGTGCCCAACAGTAAGTTCTTGGGGTTAGGTTGGGTTTTACGGATCAATAAGGGGTTCTTCAAATAACAGGTTTAACTTTCAAGAAAACATGAAAGATACTTGAAGTCTATTTTAAACAATGTTGTACTACTGTACCGTGTATTTGTGTTTATATATCTTTTGAAAAACATATAACTTAAAGACAATACACTTGGTCTTGTCTCAAAAGACATTTGCGTCACCAGCGGTTTGAAGGCTTCCTGAGCTATCAGACGAAGGTCACTGAATTCACATTTGGTGTTTCTGGTCCATTTACGAGAGAAAAAGTGACAACAAGACTTTCAGAGAGTCTGAGACCTGGTCATTTTGAATGCATTGATAGTACACGTCACACTGCGCTGACCTGTGCTTCAACTTCTATTCTTCTGCAGTCTTATGAAACTTACATAGTATATTAAAAAAAGCCTTGATTGATTAATTGAACAGCACTGCTCCAGATCTAAATTTAGACCACGATGTAGTATGTGGCAAAGTTAGATGTAACACTTTGATGAAAATGTATTTATATATACCTCTGTGGTGCAACCTGCCATCGAAAGGATTCCAAAAGAATAAGAGAGAAGAAGAAAACATCAAAGAACATTTAGAAAAAGGCTCAGGGGAGATAACTTGTCTGATGTTTTAGTGCAACTAAATGTTGCACACCGACACACACTCACATGTACTGTACCCGCACACTTTTAGGAACAAGTAATGTCTCATTCGATGACTGTTCAAATTAAATATTAAATCCAGACGTCTTGAAATCCACTTTTTGACTTTTCGACCTTCGAGTTCCGCTCGTCAGCAGCCTTCTTCAATGAAGCAGTTCGAGAGTGACAGACGGCAGATAATCAGACCGCTGCTCTGCTCCCTTTGTCAATGTCAACCTCTCAGTGGTCTTCAATGGAAAAGCCAGAGGACAGAGGCACGCCAGCACATAGGGAACCCCTTTGTCTATGAACATTGCCGCACATTTAGTGATTCAAATCTGATCTTTAAGACGACAACACAAACAATATCCAGTTTTTTGCGTTCTTGCATAGTTAAATAGTTACGAGCCACATAAAAAAAAAAACAAGTCTAGCAACGAACAGCCATCGTGTCTGAGCATTTCTGAGTGGCTATTTGTGAAGTGTGTAAATTACAGTGGAGAGGCCTGGATATTGTTGCTGGAGGCAGCTTGAGTGCCATTCTCCCCCTGGCTATAAGAGGACTTTGGTGGGGGCAGCGCATGAGAAAAATGGAAGTGCTCAGCAGAGACCACTTCACACATGCACCCACACCATCACATGCTCTCTTTCCTTATTGCTCTTTTGTTCATTTCTGTCTCTTTGTCCTCCCCCCTTCACGATATCATTTTCTCTCATTAATCAAGATGCATTCACAGGCAATAATATGTCCTTAAGCAGACTCTCACCTCTTCCCCCCCTCCCAGTCTTCCTCTCTACTTCTGTCTCTCTTTCCCTCCTAGGCCTATTTTTTTCTGGATGTCCAGTTTTACTTCTTTGCACTGACCCTCCTATCTGAACCAGCCCACATGCCAAGATTCATCTAGCTGGTGATATCGTTGCCAGTTAACGTGCAGAAGCAGCAACTGTCTCTATAATGATACAGTGCTCGCTGCTAACGTTAGTTTCCTCTCTCTCTCTCTCTCTCTCTCTCTCTCTCTCTCTCTCTCTCTCTCTC